TATCTGTAACGCTTTGTAAAGTATCTGTAACGCTTTGTAAAGTATCTGTAACGCTTTGTAAAGTATCTGTAACAAGTATGACACGAATGTAGGAATATTTTGGAAAGAGCATCTCTTCTGATGTGCAGCACTAAAACATTAGTCTTAAAGGTACCCGACAAATAAAGGGAGACATATAGGCTCCATACGTTAGACACACACACACACACACACACACACACACACACACACACACACACACACACACACACACACACACACACACACACACACACACACACACACACACACACACACACACACACACACACACACACACACACACACACCAAAGCTTTTGGCATTGCTGCTAAACGCATAGAGAGATAAGACAGAGAATCTATGTACTTTTGCCTGAAATCTTGGTCAGTAAAAGAGATCCCTTTACTTCCCTGCATCATCAAAGATGGTTTTAACCCTTGTTCAATCATTGCATTGATAATGAGATAGCTGTCAAAACCCTTAGCATTGTGAGCGATGAAGGTTGTATTCTTGAACTTGGGGCGCCTAAAGTGTGTCAGAAACTGCAGTGCACAGTCGGTGCCCTCAGCGACCCAAATTTCGCCTGCAAGGGTTTTTGTACACACCAGGAAGGGGACATGTACACCGTCTGCCCCCGCCATTGTTTCAAAATCATAAAACACAATGTTGTCATTGTGTTCTGTCTCTTTGGGTAACACACCGATGTAACACAGATGTTTTTCACACTCGCCTGTAGAAGCAGAGGGTAACTTTTCATTACATGTTTTACATTTTTTCACCGGACACTTGTGTGTTTTATCTGCACTACTCTTGGGAATGTAGTAAGAAAGTTGACAATCTACACACTTTTTGTTTAAATCACAGTTACTGGCAATGTCTGATGCTCTCTGTGTCTGTTCTTTATGTCGAGCGTGACAGCCGACCGTACGGCAAGTTTTGTTACAGTCTTTACAAAAGATGGGTTTAAACTCTTCCAGAGTACACGAGGGGTCAAGGCAGACAAAACAATGGCCAATACATGAATGATGCCACTGCGAGCTGTAGCCTGTGTAACAATGTTTGCAGACATAAGGAGATCCTAAAAACCCCTTCAAGTTTTTAATCCCATAGTAATGGTTTTTGAAGAGAAACAAAAACACAGTTTTATCTCGTTTGGGACCGTCTGTCTGGAATTTACAGAGGGCACGATCTTCATCGCCTCTGTAAAACACCACAATGTTGCATTTTAAACTCTCTTCGAATTTATCAATGTCGTTGAATGTCACAGCTGTCTGATCTGTCAAACCCACCCCCCTCTGAATCTCTCTACCGCGTTCAAACCCTTCCCTATCAGTGAGGTTGTTATGCAGCAACAGTGCTAATTTAATAGCAAAACACAGCTGGTTGGAGGGATTGTGAACAATGTAAAGAAAACGCTTCTTCTTTTTAACAATTTCATTGTCCAACATTTTACTAGCCAATCTTTTAGTACCACCACGAGGGGAATGAACAATCTGCACCACTAATTCAAGATCGCTGTCTGACATAACTGCCCAATTTGACTGCACTGCATTGAAGAGGGCATCTTCAAAATCATTCAGATTATTATCATTGTTGGCATTTAAAATGGCTGACACGTTAGCCTGCAGCTGCTCTCCCCTTAGCTCAATCTGTACAAGATCTTCCCTCTCTGCTTGTGAAAAAGCCTGATCTAGCAAATCATGTACATTCTCCATCAGACTCTCATAATAGGATGTATAGTCTGCGTCATCGTTAGGAGGAGTTAGGACTAGAGACTGACTCAGTTCTGTGTTATTGAATACGGGTCGAGACAAAACATGTGTTGAAGCATTCTGGTTGTCATTAACATTTCCACCATTTTGTAATGAGGGGCCTGGTGATTCTGAAGCATTCGGGATGCCATTTTGATCAACGTGTCCACCATTTTGCACGGAGGAAACTGGTGATTCAACATTGACGGAAGCTTCGCTAACATTATTTGACTCATTGAGTTGAAGTACTTAGTCTGCGAGCTGATTTAAAAGCACAAGACCAGGGTACGCTTCAGAGTTTTGGTAGCAGTCTAGAACCCATCCAACGCGCCACCTAATGTTATTGGATAGCTTGAGTTTGTTTCTGAGGGGGTGGAAGGCTCGTTTACAATAGTTCTTCGTCATTTAACTCGTTAATATTGTCTGAACACTGAGGAAATGACATTTCACTATAGGTTTATTCATCTTCGCTTAGGTCATTTATATCATTTAAGCATTGAAGAAATGACGTTTCTCTATCTGCTAAATCATCCATGTTTGACTGTTTATGAAATCACCCCAGCAAAAAAAAAAAGAAAGGAAATCAAAAATACATTTGTCGCAGCAGAAGAAAACCACACTGCTTTTTTACATTTATGGACATAAAGTCAACATACCGCTCGATACATCAATAGCAATTTACATCAGAGGCCTCCAGCTTATTCAGTTGGTGTAACCATAAAGTTGGCGGTAACAGCAATGTAATCGTAGGGCAGATCTATACAGAAAAAAGACAGAGAGATAAAAAAAGAGGGGTAAGTATTTGAAACACTGAAATATTACATTTAGCAACAATTCATTTAGCGATCATCTTATAAAATAACCATAAAGGTCATTTACCTGTATGATAACTCGTTATGAATGTGTCTGTGACGGGGTCGCCCCAGCCCGGCTCTATGGTCGCGCTGAAAAATTTGAAAAATGCCTGACTCTCAGGCGGAAGTTGTGTTGAGGGGTCGCTCCAGAGCTGCTGAAGGGAGGCGTTGCAGGGGGGTGTGTCTGTCTGACGTGTCAGGAGTGTGTCTGGGATGGCTTTACTCTGCGCTGAAAAAGTCAAAATCGACCTGAAGCTCAGGCGGAATCTGTGTTAATGGTTCGCCCCAGAGCTGCTGAAGGGAGGCCTGGCTTCTGAGGGGGTGAGGGGTTCGTTTTCACACGGTGGAGATCTGTCATCGTGATGGCTTACTGATGGCTGGCTTAGGCTGTAGACTTCGTCACCTTGTAACAAAAGAGCAAGTATATAAAACGTTATTATGGATACTTTACACATCAGCAAAAGAAAACATATTTTGATTTAAAAATATACAACACACACACACACGCACACACGCACGCACGCACGCACGCACGCACGCACGCACGCACGCACGCACGCACGCACGCACGCACGCACGCACGCACGCACGCACGCACGCACGCACGCACGCACGCACGCACGCACGCACGCACGCACGCACACACACACACACACACACACACACACACACACACACCCCAATGGCTCTCTATACACTGTACACAGCATGTTAACCTTTTTAAACTATAGGCTAAATGACATGATACATCATCAAGTCACACCTCTTTCACAAAACACCTGCAACGACTTTCTAATCCAAGCAATGACCGAATCCTGAGGGACCTGCAGGCTATGTAAGGTCCAGGCACACCTCTGACTTCTATCTCAACAACCAAAGAGATAGTGAGAAGATGAGAAAGTCAACTGATGAAGACCAGCTGCTGACCAACGAGAGGAATCAGGAGACGCCGGTCCCAGCGCTGGAAAGCTCGAATGCCATCCTGCTTCACCTGGAGGTATTCATGAGTGTTTGATTCAAACTGTTTCAAATAGTTGAAAAATAGCTGGCTTTTTTCATTGGAATACAAAAATGGATGAATTTCTAATGACAGAATATTTATGTGCAGTTTAGTTTGCTGGATAAAGGTATTGACCTCTGTGCATGTTATTCTTCCTGTAGGTTCAACACCCACTCTCCCATGTACTACAAACGTTTGAACACCAGTGTCCCGGTGCTGAAACTGTACTTCGGTGATGGGTGCCTGCTGAAGGACTACAGGATCAGCCGAGACTCCTTGGAGGCCTTGATGCGGTGTCTGGGGCCTGAGAGGAGACAGTTTCAGTGTGACGATAGACAGTTAGACCTTGGGTTGCACAATGACTTTAAACACGTTGGCTTTTCAGTCATGTCACAATCATAACATGTACGTTCAGCTTTGTGTCAGATAAAGATCTCCTTGTATCTTTTCAGTAAACATGTTTGTTTGTTTGTCTACTTTAAAGAAGGCTTCATGCTTGATGTAACCCTTGTATGGAGTTCGGCTCTGTGGGACCCGTTTTCACTATTTAGCTAAAGAAAAATTACATCAATTATTTGTTCAAACTCGCTCTCAATGGCCGTGGCTCATTTTCTGTGAAGAACATATATCAGAACCCATTGTACACCCCCCCCCCCCCTTTTTACATTACATACAGGGTGTTCAGGTCCACTGTGTGTGTGTGTGTGTGTGTGTGTGTGTGTGTGTGTGTGTGTGTGTGTGTGTGTGTGTGTGTGTGTGTGTGTGTGTGTGTGTGTGTGTGTGTGTGTGAGAGAGACTTGTGTGTCTGCCAGGTAGCAGCATTGCTGATAAACTAAAGCTCCGTCTCCTGTCTGCTCTCACGTTATGTTTTGAACCGATCTTTATTTAGTTCACTCTCTATCCAAGCTGCACATTCGGGCCGAGACACAATAAATGATGCTTCTCCTTCTCACAGCTGATCAAGATGGCCAAAAGATTATCTGCTCAGAGAACCATGTGATGATGATGATGATGATGAAGAGGTTTCAGAATGTGAGGATCACAGTGACTTTGAAGAAGAGGAGCATCAGCTGGTTGAAGTAGGCCGAGCACTTGAATTGATGAATGTGATCTACATGTCAAAGGGCTAATATGAACCATATATGTGTTTATATGGCTTTCTTTGGGATGAAGTCAACTTCTGTATTTTCACCTCAAATAGTTTGATCGTGTTGAAACCCCAAAAGGCAGCGGGTCCACCAGACCCACGAACACTGGCTGATAACAGAAATATGACAGAGGAGAGGAGGAGAGGAGGAGAGGAGGAGAGGAGGAGGAGAGGAGGAGAGGAGGAGGAGGAGGAGGAGGAGGAACAGATTGACTTCATAGACGCTGCTTGTTCTAAATCTTTATTTAACTTATCGATCACTACAGTCTTCAGGATCAGCTTTAATACGTTGCTTCAAGAAAACTTTATTACAGACACAATCAGTGAGACACACGGTAACCAATGAGAAGCCTCCATTTAAAACACCATGTGACCTCAGGACAGGAAGTGGTCTCCTCCTACAGAGGACACAGAGGACACAGAGACGCTGAGGAGTCAGGGCAGACCCCAAACCCAGCGTAGAGAGGTTCAGTGAATGTGGTTCTGAAGGTGTGGAGGAGGATCAGAGAGGAGGAGGAGACTCTGTAGAAGGAGAGAGAGCCAGCAGGATGATCCAGATACACTGCTACTCTACCAGAGGAGGAGGAGGAGGTGGAGGAGGAGGAGGTGTGTGTTCCCCTCTTATTGTGCCTGACATAGTAACCACCATCATAGCAGTCCAGACTCCAGGACTGATCATTCCATCCAAACTCACCGTCCCCACCGCCTCCTCTCCTCCTGATTCCTCTGTAAGTCACTGATATAGAAACCTCTCCTCTCCTCTCGACCTCCCAGTAACAGCGACCAGTCAGAGCTTCTCTGCACATCAGCTGAGGCCAGCCATCAAACCTCTCTGGATGACCAGGATATGGCTGCTTCTTCCGCACCCATGTCACCGTCCTGTTGTCCTCAGACAGTTTGAGGAACCTGTTCACTGTGTTTGAGTCCACGGTGAGTTCACAGGAATCTGAGGAGAGACACAGACAGCAGTTTATCATCAGACTCACCTGAAGGCTTTCCTCTCTGTCAGTGATCTTTCTATAAAGCTTCAAGATGTCATGTTTTAATGAATAAATAGCACCTCCATCATCTGTGTCTCTAGACTAGAGAGAAGCTGACTGATCCACACTTACACTTCATCAGACCTGGTCTCTGCTCTCCACAATGGTCCAGCCTGGAGGAAGAAACACATGTGAGAAACAGAACAGCGTATTGTTAGAATAAAGTATTTATCAATGTTCATCATAATAATAAATCCTATGTGTCCGAAGGGAGCAGGAGGGAGCAGATGTTTATTGATCCCCCTTACTTCCTGCTGATCAATGATTATCCTTTCAATCATGTCTGCAAGTTATTCCTAAAGAAGTGTTTCTGTGCATCTTTTAAAGTGAATGCTATGTGTGCTTTGTTTGAACTCCTGCTCCAAGCCGCTCCATGAAACCCCCCCCCCCCCCCCCCCCCCACAGATTGTTCTGCTCTTCTCAGAGTTCTTCTGACCTTGAGTTGTTTCAGATGTAGATCTCCTCTCAGATGATACCCCCCCCTCTCTGTCTATGAACAACGTCTGTAGTGTCCTAGGAAGTAGATGATCTCTTGCTCTGTACATGATGCAGTTTGAAATGTAACCAGATCAGTAAACTTCAGTGTGTGTGACTTCAAGAATAATGAATGAGTGTGTTCAAGATATCCAACATTATTGATTACTCTTAGAGCCCTTTTTTGTAATGTGCATAACGGCTGCAGGTTGGTTTTGTGTTTCCCCAGATCTCCACACAGTAACTCAGACATGGAGATATGAGTGTATCACACAGAGTATATCATGATGTGATATGAGTGTATCGCACAGAGTATATCATGATGTGATATGAGTGTATCACACAGAGTATATCATGATGTGATATGAGTGTATCACAGAGTATATCACGATGTGATATGAGTGTATCACACAGAGTATATCATGATGTGATATGAGTGTATCACACAGAGTATATCATGATGTGATATGAGTGTATCACAGAGTATATCATGATGTGATATGAGTGTATCACACAGAGTATATCATGATGTGATATGAGTGTATCACACAGAGTATATCATGATGTGATATGAGTGTATCACAGAGTATATCATGATATGATATGAGTGTATCACACAGAGTATATCATGATGTGATATGAGTGTATCACACAGAGTAGATCATGATGTGATATGAGTGTATCAAAGAGAGTATATCACAATGTGATATGAGTGTATCACACAGAGTATATCATGATGTGATATGAGTGTATCACAGAGTATATCATGATATGATATGAGTGTATCACACAGAGTATTTCATGATGTGATATGAGTGTATCACACAGAGTATATCATGATGTGATATGAGTGTATCACACAGAATATATCACAATGTGATATGAGTGTATCACAGAGAGTATATCATGATGTGATATGAGTGTATCACACAGAGTATATCACGATGTGATATGAGTGTATCACAGAGAGTATATCATGATGTGATATGAGTGTATCACACAGAGTATATCACGATGTGATATGAGTGTATCACACAGAGTATATCATGATGTGATATGAGTGTATCACAGAGAGTATATCATGATGTGATATGAGTGTATCCCAGAGAGTATATCACGATGTGATATGAGTGTATCACACAGAGTATATCACGATGTAATATGAGTGTATCACACAGAGTATATCACGATGTGATATGAGTGTATCGCACAGAGTATATCACGATGTGATATGAGTGTATCACAGAGTATATCACGATGTGATATGAGTGTATCACACAGAGTATATCATGATGTGATATGAGTGTATCACACAGAGTATATCATGATGTGATATGAGTGTATCACACAGAGTATATCATGATGTGATATGAGTGTATCGCACAGAGTATATCATGATGTGATATGAGTGTATCACACAGAGTATATCATGGTGTGATATGAGTGTATCACACAGAGTATATCATGATGTGATATGAGTGTATTATGATGTGATATGAGTGTATCACAGAGTATATCATGATGTGATATGAGTGTATCATGATGTGATATGAGTGTATCACAGAGTATATCATGATGTGTTATGAGTGTATCACAGAGTATATCATGATGTGATATGAGTGTATCACACAGAGTATATCATGATGTGATATTAATGTATCACACAGAGTATAGCATGTGTACTCCAGAATGTCTTGCTTTCCCCAATAGTGCGATAGTCTTAGCCAGTTTAGCTTTGCATGATGGATATGAGGTTTCCAGCTGATGTTGTGCTCTAACAGCATGTTACATGTCAATATATTTGATACTCTGCAGATATCGTTGATGTATATGAACAGCTGTGGACCCAACACAGACCCCTGAGGTACTCCACAAGTTATGTTCATGTCTTCTGATTTATGTTCACCTATTTCACAAAGTGTTGTCTGTTGCTTCAATAATCTCTCAGCCAGTCTAACCCTCTGATGCCATACCTTTCCAGTGTTGTCAGTAACATGTTGTGATCTATGGTGTCACATGCTTTCTGTAGCTCTATAAATATTCACACTGCTTGTTTTTTATTGTCCAAGCAGTTTGCTATTTCCTCACTTAATCCCATTAGTGCCGTACATGTTGATCTTTCTTTCCTGAATCCATATTGACTGTCGTCCAACAGCTGATGTGTTTCCATGAACCTGTCAAGTCTTTTTGTAAAAAGCTTTTCAAGGATGAAAGTGGGAGAGCAAAGAAACATGTGATGTGTGTCATGGAGTTCATCCCCAGTTTGATATCATGGTATAACTTTAGCTATTTTCATTTCATTAGGGAATGTACCAGATTGAAAAGATAAGTTACAAAGATGTGTTCATGGTTCTGCAATGTCTTCAATAATGTGTTTGACTATAATCATATCAATATGATTCCAATCGGTCGAGGACTTGCTTTTACATTTCCGTAGAGTGTCTATGATTTCTCTTTCTTCGACTGCTCTGAGGAACAAAGAGCTATTGTTTTCATTCCAGAGCTCTGTATCTTCCCCTTTAGCTGTTTCTACGCTTTTCATTCTTTCTGCAGATCTGGCCCCACATTTACAAAGAGTTGGTTCAAACCATGAACGACATCGTCTGTGTTATTGATAACATTATCTTTGTCAACAAGAAACTCAGGGTAACCTGTACTCTTTGCTCCGTTTCTAACGATACTATTTAATACCTTCTATAAACCTTTCATTCTGATAATTCTCTAGTATTTTATTATAGTATTCTTTCTTACATATTCTCATAATATTGGTTAATTTATTCTTATATCTTTTATATTTATTTTCTGCTTCTGAACCTCTATATTATATGAGTTGTCTATAAAGTGTATTTTTCTTTTTGCAGGCATTGTTTAGGCCATCAGTGATCCATGCACGGTGACTTTGTTTCTGTCTCTCTCTGCATTGTTTAGGCCATCAGTGATCCATGCACTCTGACTCTGTTTGTGTCTCTCTGCATTGTTTAGGCCATCAGTGATCCATGCACTGTGACTTTGTGTCTCTCTGCATGGTTTAGGCCATCAGTGATCCATGCACGGTGACTTTGTTTGTGTCTCTCTCTGCATTGTTTAGGCCATCAGCGATCCATGCACGGTGACTTTGTGTCTCTCTGAATTGTTTAGGCCATCAGTGATCCATGCACGGTGACTTTGTTTGTGTCTCTCTCTGCATTGTTTAGGCCATCAGTGATCCATGTACGGTGACTTTGTTTGTGTCTCTCTCTGCATTGTTTAGGCCATCAGTGATCCATGCACAGTGACTTTGTTTGTGTCTCTCTCTGCATTGTTTAGGCCATCAGTGATCCATGCACTGTGATTTTGTGTCTCTCTGCATTGTTTAGGCCATCAGTGATCCATGCACAGTGACTTTGTGTCTCTCTGCATTGTTTAGGCCATCAGTGATCCATGCACTCTGACTCTGTTTGTGTCTCTCTGCATTGTTTAGGCCATCAGTGATCCATGCACTGTGACTTTGTGTCTCTCTGCATTGTTTAGGCCATCAGTGATCCATGCACGGTGACTTTGTTTCTGTCTCTCTCTGCATTGTTTAGGCCATCAGTGATCCATGCACTGTGACTTTGTTTCTGTCTCTCTCTGCATGGTTTAGGCCATCAGTGATCCATGCACGGTGACTTTGTTTCTGTCTCTCTCTGCATTGTTTAGGCCATCAGTGATCCATGCACTGTGACTTTGTTTCTGTCTCTCTCTGCATGGTTTAGGCCATCAGTGATCCATGCACGGTGACTTTGTTTGTGTCTCTCTCTGCATTGTTTAGGCCATCAGTGATCCAAGCACGGTGACTTTGTTTGTGTCTCTCTGCATTGTTTAGGCCATCAGTGATCAATGCATGGTGACTTTGTTTGTGTCTCTCTCTGCATTGTTTAGGCCATCAGTTATCCATGCACGGTGACTTTGTTTGTGTCTCTCTCTGCATTGTTTAGGCCATCAGTGATCCATGCACTGTGACTTTGTTTCTGTCTCTCTCTGCATTGTTTAGGCCATCAGTGATCCATGCACGGTGACTTTGTGTCTCTCTGCATTGTTTAGGCCATCAGTGATCCATGCACTGTGACTTTGTTTGTGTCTCTCTCTGCATTGTTTAGGCCATCAGTGATCCATGCACGGTGACTTTGTGTCTCTCTGCATTGTTTAGGCCATCAGTGATCCATGCACGGTGACTTTGTTTGTGTCTCTCTCTGCATTGTTTAGGCCATCAGTGATCCATGCACGGTGACTTTGTGTCTCTCTGCATTGTTTAGGCCATCAGTGATCCATGCACGGTGACTTTGTTTGTGTCTCTCTCTGCATTGTTTAGGCCATCAGTGATCCATGCACGGTGACTTTGTGTCTCTCTGCATTGTTTAGGCCATCAGTGATCCATGCACGGTGACTTTGTTTGTGTCTCTCTCTGCATTGTTTAGGCCATCAGTGATCCATGCACGGTGACTTTGTGTCTCTCTGCATTGTTTAGGCCATCAGTGATCCATGCACGGTGACTTTGTTTGTGTCTCTCTCTGCATTGTTTAGGCCATCAGTGATCCATGCACGGAGACTTTGTTTGTGTCTCTCTCTGCATTGTTTAGGCCATCAGTGATCCATGCACAGTGACTCTGTTTGTGTCTCT